TCACACCAGTGAGAATGGCACATATTAAAAAAACTAGCAACAACAAATGTTGGCGAGGGTGTGGAGAAAAAGGAACTCTTCTGCACTGTTGGTGGGAGTGCAAACTGGTCCAACCACTGTGGAAAGCTGTGTGGAGATTTCTGGACCTACTAAACATAGAGCTTCCATAGGATCCAGCAATTCCACTCCTAGGTATTTACCCAAAGGACACAGAAACATCCATTCCAAAGAACACCTGCACCCCTATGTTTATAGCAGCACTGTTTACAATAGCTAAGCTTTGGAAACAACCCAAATGCCCAAAAATAGATGACTGGATCAAGAAGATGTGGTACATATATACCATGGAATATTACTCAGCATTCAAAAAAGATAAACACATGCAATTTGCAGCAACATGGATGGCGCTGGAAGGGATCATGCTCAGTGAAATAAGCCAAAAAGAAAAAGAAAAATACCGGATGGTCTCACTCATAGCAGGAATCTAGAAAACTTAAATAAGGGACCAGGAAAATGAATAACTATAAGAAAGTGAAAATCAAAATCAGCAAAAAACTATGAACCAGAGACACTTTTAGGGGGGCGGGAGGGAGGGATTGGGGTCAGAATGGGGGGGCTGCAATTGTATGGGGAATATAACAATAAAATTTATTATCTAATAAAAAAAACAAAAACAAAAAAAAATTTATTAGCTTGAATAATTTTATGATGTTTCCACTCAACGACTATTTGATGATCTTGAGGTAACAGCTCATTCACAAAGACAGAAAAAAATGTTTCTTTTCCTTTTTTAGCAGTTTCTGCAATAATCAATAAGTTCCTTATCATCCACTAGAGGATACCAACCTTTAAAAGTATCGTTTTAAATCAAGAAGTTAAAAAGATTTGGGGCATTTTGGTTAAACATTTTAGCATTTGTCTAAAGTGAAGATTAAATTATTGCATCTTTGGGCAGTTGGGGATGTCTTCAGTATGGCACCTTTGGATGTGGCTGATAAGCTTGATTGCTTCCTTGCTTTCTAGAGGGACAAGATGCTAAGGCTTATTTATATATTTCCTGCCCCTACCCTACAATCACACATACCTTCCCAAAAAGTTATTTTTAAATAAAAACTGGGACATGTTATTTTAAGACCATAGTCTGACCCTTCGTTATGCTCATGGGCTGGATACTCTTTCTACAACTTTCCACATTTATATCCCCAACCCAAGATGCCATCTTTCTTCTAGTTGTTGTATCTCCTTAGACTGGCTGTGATATTTCCTAAGACTTTTCTAGTTGTAAATGACCTTGACAGTTTGGGGAGCACTGGTCAGGTATTTTGTAGAATGGCCTTCATTTGGGATGTCTGATGTGTTTCTCATGATTAATGCTAGGTTTGGAGGAGGAAGATCACAGAGGTTCTGGACTGTTCTCATCACATCCTGTGAACGTAACTGAGAGTTGATGTGAACCTTTATCAGTTGACTGAGGCAGTGTTGTTCAGTTTCCTCTATATTTTCCCCTCATTTAGACTGTGCTCTTTGAAGGAAAGTCTCTTTCAGAATAGCCATTGTTAAGGAAGTTAGCACCATGTCATTGAGGACAGAGTATCTACATAAATCATGTGGAATTTTTCTGTATGGGTGATTTGATTCTTTATATCATTCAACCATTTATTTGTATCAGTACAGACCATGGACGTTGATCTTATGTTTTGGGTTATAATCCAATACTATATTATTTATATTTTTGTTGAAGTTCCAGTTTTGGCTTTTGGGAGTTCATTTAGTTGACTCCTGTGTCCCCTTGATGTATCTCCACCATTATGGCTGTGAGTGTTTTTTTTTAACATTTTTAAAATTTTTTGGCTCTATAGTCCATTTCAAGTTCACCTTGTATATTTCCTCCCTCTGTCTTAGAATCAGTCATTTCTGGTTCTATTATTGGATATTGTACTAAAAGCTAGATCAGCTTTGTGTCCATTGCTGGATTTGCTCATTACTACTAAGTTGTCATTTGTGAGTCTTCCCCACTGGCAGAGCAAGGAAATGTATGTGTGTATTCTAATCTGTGTATATAAACACATTCATAAGCATTTCTATATTTAATCACCAATATCTATATTAAGCTAAATGAATTCATGCTGATATCTCTAGCCCCAAATCATTGCCATATGAATCATTCTAGCCTTTACTCCTTGTTTATCTGTAAACTTCCACTCTAACAACAGAAAACTTGTCTTCTGCCATCTGCCATTCAGTTACTTAATTGTTGAATTACAGTGCACACATACAGTGGATTCAAGTTGTTAATGTGTCCCTCTAGTAGAAACACCTTTATCAAGCAGAGTACTGTGCTCTTTTGTGGTTCTTTTTGCCTTTAGCCCTCCAGACGCCACTCATTTCTAAAGTCACCTGGGAAACCACATTTTCTCCCCACTCTTTTTAGTGAGACTGTTTTACACTTTTAATTCAGTTAGATTGTTTTATCACAGTCTGATTCCATCATAGAACCCCATGAACTTAGAAATAATTTAAAAATATGGTACACATTAGGATTTACTGTTTGTGCTGTAAAGTTCTATCAGTTTTCATGAATGCATAATATTGTGTCTTTACCATTACAGTATCATAGTGAATAACTTCACCACCCTAAAAAAAAAAATCTCCTGAGCCTATCTCCTCACTAGCAGTTACTGAACTGTTTATTGTCTTTACAGTTTTGTTCTTTCTAGAATGTCATAAAAATGGAATTACAGAATCTAGGCTGTTCAGACTTCTTTCACTTTGGAATATCCACTTAAGATTAAGCCATGTCTTTCTATGACATGACAACTCATTTCTTGTTATGGCAGAATAAAAACAACATCAGGGCCTCCCCTGGTGGCACAGTGGTTGAGCACTGGGCTGCGAGGCTGCCCGCAGCCTCTGCAGCGCCTGTTCGTTCCCCGGCTGCAGGCGAGGGTCCCACAAAAAACAACAACAACAACAACAACAAAAAACCACATCAATGGTGGGACTATTGAGAGATTATCACTACCTACTTTTGATTTTGAATTTCTGGGGCTACCACATCCATCTATTCCTGTTGTTAGTCTAGGCCATGAGGTTTTTAGCTTTGCTATTAGTTGATCAGATATTTGGTAATTTTGAGGGACTTAAAAAATGTCACCTCTCTCATCATCTTCCAGCACGCCCCTTTATACTTCTAATGCCCTTGCTAGTTCAGAAAAGGTGAAACACTGCTGCTGTGTATTAGTTAATGTGAATGTCTTTCCTTTACAAATCATTCCATGACCTTCTGCAAATATTTGCAGCATCTTTTTTCTGCCCCCAGGATTAACTCTAACTTCCTTAAGGTGCATTTAGACAATGACTGCCTGCGAGCTCCCTCTCTTTTCCAAGTGCCCACCACATCTTTCACTCTAGATTCTTCATTTACTCACTATTTCACAAACACTCTTCCATTCCTCTGTGTCTTTGCCAGCACTGTTTTCTCCACTGGCAATATTTTTTGACTCTTTCTCCCTCATTCTACTCAATTCAAAATATCACATTTTATGCCAAAATTTCTTTAATCCACCTAATCAGAATGAATCACCAAAAGAATCACTTTGATACAAACATTTAAGTAGCTAAAAGTATAGACACTGTCTTTAGGTTCAAATCTCAATTCAGCCATTATAAAGACACGTGACTTTATAAAATGGGATTTGGAATGTTACCTTGCTTATTAGTTATTTGCTTTATTAAGACAAAACATGCAAAGGATTTAACACTTTCTTAGTATGCACTAAGTGCTCAGTAACTGGGAGCCATTTTTAATGTCTCTCTTCCACTAAATTACATTTTACAGTATTGCAGACCTCCTCTTGCAAAATTATACTATCTTCAGAGTCTGACACATGGCTCTGCCTTCATTATACCCCTAACAAATATTCATTGGTGTTATTTTTAATGCATGAATGGGGAAAACTCATGACAAGTTTAAGGAGAAGGGACTCTTTTAAGTTTAAGGTAGCAAGTACCTTATGGTGCAGGAGAGAGCAAAAAGCATGGCCATTGGACTTATCTAGAGCTGGGTTCAAATGCTGGCTCTTTCTTCTACAACCTGTAAGATAGACGTGTGTGTCTAAGAGAGTGTCAGTAACCTGGACTCTGGAAGAGACTTCCCGGGGTTTGCCATCAGCCTGAAAAATTTTTCAACTGTGAGACCTCAATCAACTTATCTAATTACTCTGATCCTCAATTCTCACCTTTTTTTTCTTTTTATTTATACAAGCACTGGGTACAGTCAGAAGCGCGGGAGGGTGAGAGAATTCACCAGAGCCACAGCGGGGAACAGAACAGGCAGACCGACGAAATACACTGCTGAGGGGAACAGCGGGTGCAGCAGGAGAGGTCTGCGCGCCATGTGGGACCCTCGCTGGTGGCTGGGGATCGAACCAGCACTGCAGAGGCTGTGGGCAGCTTTGTAGCCCAGTGCTCAACTGCTGGCCACCAGTGGAGGCCCATTTCTCACCTTTTTAAGGCTGGGATGTTAATAGTACTTACCTCACAGGGTTGTCATGTGGGTTTCAATGAGTTATTATAGGTAAAGTAGTGGAACAATGGCAGGTGGTTGCAATACCAGTAAAGCACTGTTATTGCTAATCCAGGAAGCTATGGTGCTGTATCTACTACAAACACCAAAGAGGTAATTAACAAGTGAGCAAGGAAATGGTGAAGCAGGCTCTACACTTACTTTCTGCACTCACAAGTGCAATGTCAAATAAGAGGAAGCCTATTTTATTATTAAGATTTGGTAAAAGACTTGCCTTGACAGAGTAATGACATTAATATTCAGAGTAAGATAACTGGAACAGATTCTGATATTGTCAAACATTTTGCTATGGATCCTGGATCCAGTCAGTTATTTTCAATTCTTATCCCATGTAATGGTCCGTTAACTGGCTCCAGGTGAGGGACCATCAGCTCACAAAGACATTTCACCCAATAACTTAGCCCTTTTTATTTACCTTGAAGAAGGAAGCAAACTTTGTATTGCCGTGATAAACAGAAGAACGATAAACGCACAGACCAAGTTGGACTTGAATACTTCATCCCTCATTTGAGAATACTGTAATTAAAAAAAAAAAAGGAGAATAAATTACTTTGCAGCAGAATTGAGCTTTTAGAAAGTGTTGAATTTTACCGATGTTTGGAGTGGGGTGGAGAAGCAAGAAGAGACAAGGCAATTAAATATTAAAACTAACCGGAATCGATGTCAGAACAGGCTTCACAGGACATTATCCACATCCCTCCCGCCAAGCTTCCCATGAATGCCCAGGAGCACTCACTTTGCAAGATGCACTTACCCAGTTTTTCCTCTCCCTAGGAACTAACATAATTTTAACAAAAACAGAAGAAAACACACCCATAAATGCAGCCTATCAAATTCACATTGATTTTCTTCATGAGTAAATGGAAGTCATTCAAGGATCTTGCTCTATTTCCAGCTAGGTGTGGGGACACAAGGACATGCTTTCCCGGAGAGCCTTTCTGCTCTTATAAAAACTATTGGAAGTTACGTTTATGAGACAGTGTAGAAAGCAGCCACGGGCCCTGCAGCCAGTGCGGCCCTTCATTTCACAGCAGACGCCAAGACTGATTGACCACGGCACTCGACACCCTTCTGCCATCTGCTCAAGGTGGCCTGGGGAAACGAGGTAACTTTGTTTTGATTATCCAGAGTACTCAGTAATTTCATTGTCCGGTCTTAAAAGCCTCTGCAAGGTCTGCACGGAATGTGCGCTTGCCTTGGCCCTGCCTAGTTTCCTGAGTCATCTTGGAGTCACTACCCTGAAATAGAATCCATTTCTTTGAGAAGGAAGAAGGGGTTTTTTAAAAGTGAAAAACACCTTAAAATGAGCCTAAACTAAGTCTGTCATTTAACCTTAATTCCAGAGCGGCCTAGAGACTTGCTGGAGGTCACAGAGCAGTGGGGAACAGAAAGCTGAGCCAGGCTTTGGGACTCATAGATGCTGATTTGAATTCCATGGAATTACTGTACAAGGGAAGCCAGTCAAAAGCTCTCGGGACACCTCGGGTTCTAGGTCGATGGTACCAACAGAATGTTTGCCATAGGTCAATGAAATAACACAATGAGTCCAAATTATCGTGCTGTGGTTTCATGATCAACAGTTTTGGGATTTTTATTTTCTTGCTGACATCCTGGTGTGGGTTGGGTTGCAGGCTGGATGCTCTGCATAGTGTCCTGGCTAAGGTTTGGGGTAGCCATAGCTGACTAGAGTCTGCACATCCATTCATTGCTCTATGAGGCCCTGATTTTCTTCTTGAGATTGGTGTCAGCGTGGTATCTGGAGAGGATTTTGGGACATGGGCCTGAAGAATCACTACAAGTCATCCTCACTCCTGATAAAACCTCAGAAAATCTCTTCCCAATAGTGGCCAACAGTGCTGCCTCAGAGCAGAGCGCAGTCATAAAGACCACACGCACCAGCTTGAAAATAATGTGTTGTTACAAAGCAGTTCATTCAAAGAAATATAAATGTCTGAACTTTATTTAACAATCCATGCACAAGATCTAATTATTCTTTGTTGGCTGACTGCTTACTTATATAGATTTTATAATGCAATCTTTAAAACTTTGGTGATGTTTAGTGTACATGATGCTTCTCTTTTTTTGTCTTCCCTCCCTTTGTCTTCTCCATCATCACCACCACCACCATCATCATCACCATCACCACCACCACCATCATCATCACCACACTATCTAGGAGTTATAATGGAGCCTTCAGGGACTCCTTCCATAATGTATCTGATAGCAACTCAAACACCCAGTGATTATCATCAGGTGACCTTCTCTGATTTGTTGGAGGAAGTGAATTCCTCTTCTCTGAGCTGGGCTTTGGGGTTTGGAACGTCTCATCTTAACCACTTCCAGTGCCTGAGAGCTCAGTTCTTTGCAAAGAATCGCTTTTCATTTTGGGGCCAATTCTCATTATGACAAGGTCCTTTATTACAGACCACAAGTCTATGTACTGATTCCTGTCCTGAATGATTTTGACTGATAGATTAAAAAATGTCACATAATTATCATTTGTTCCAAGTTGTGTAAGGCTTCACACTTCATTTTTTCATATAGCAAAAAAGCTTGGTAGAGACAAAGTAGAGAGACTGACTCCATCCACTCTGTGAGCAAAGCCTCATGCTACCTGTCTGTCCAATAAATTAACACAACCCATCAGTTTTGTAACACTAAAACACGCCATTATTTTCATCTTCAAACTCCAGTGCATACCCCTGTTACATGAAAAAGAATCTCATAATATTTGTGAGAGTTGATATTAAATACAAAATAGTGAGTTTCAGATGGAATGCACTAACTGTGGAAGCGCGATGCAGAGCAGAACTACAGAAAGAAAATTCCTAATTGGCTCAGGATGTTAGGATACTGAGGTTGAGCGGTGATTCATTTCACTTCCTCTTGATTTGTGAAAGTCTGAACACTGGCTCACCGCTATATTAAGTTACACAGATGCCCCTCCTGCCACAGTTAGAGATCCCATATCCCACTTCTGTTCTGTCCTTACCTGGCCCTGCTTATCTTTTTTTTTTTTTTAAATCTTAGTAAAGAACATAGACTAATCTAGAGTTATACTACTTAAATTGAAGCCCAGTTCTACTACTTACTAAGTATGCAACCTTGGACAAATTTATTAAGTTTTTCTTCCAGTTTCCTCATCTAGAAAATGGACATAATTGTAGGAGTTTTGTCATAAGGGTTGCTAGGAGGATAAATTGAATTATTATATACAAAGTGTTTCAAGCACTTGATAACCTTATCTACATGTTTCTATTAATCAAATAATTAGACTTATTTCATTGCTATACCTTTTAGAAGCCTGCCTTTCAACCACAGCATCACCATTCAGAACATTTCTATTCTCTCTTCAACCCCTGTGCTTGTACTCAGTAGGGGCCTCTTACTTGTTGTGGACTATTTGGCCCATGATGTTAAAAAAGATTCTTTGAAAGGGAATCACAATATTATAAATGGTTTCTGGTCTTAGGAAAAGATCCTCCCCCCTTCCTTGCCTCCTAAAAAAGTAGAGAAGTAGAATCCTTCACTTTTCCAAGTACTTTAGGAAAGGTGTTGTTGGAGATGATTTCTGGACTATGCTAATTCACTGACTCCTTGATCTGCAAGAGAACTTGGCAATTATATAAATGTATTTTTCAGATAAGGAACTTGTGGATCAGATATGGGAAAGCATTTGTGAAGGTCAATTAGGAAGTCGTTAGCAAGTTTCAGGCTGGATCACATTTCTTTTTGTTTAATTTTTGGTTCTATTTTCTATTGGAGTTTTATTTCTCTTGATTTGGGGGAATTTTTATATTATTTATTTAACTTCTAAATTATTTTTCCCACTACCATCTCTTTTATCCCCTTAGCCCTTTCTTTCTCCCCCTCCCCCACTTAACTTTGAAGCCACACTTCTTTCATTGATGTTCACTAGTTTTCCTAAGCCTTTACTTTATTGAGTCATCTACTCTGGGAATGTCGGATGTTTGTCTTTGCATTCTGATTTGCTTTACTACTATAACTCCCTCAACTCCTTCCATTTTGCTATAGAAGGCAGCATTTGTCTTTCCTTACAGCTGTATAGTGTTCCATGGTGTGTATGCACCACATCTTCTTGTTCCAATCTTCTAGCAATGGACAATAAGTCACAACGTTTGACTCCCAGTGGAGTGTTTATTTCATGAGATCATGCGTGGGCAGAAAATGACTGAAGGCAGTACTTAAGTCACCTGTGAAGGGGATTAATGCCAATTCAAATGACCTGCTCCTTGGAAATAATTTAAAATGCTTCATTTGAAAGCTTAGATGAGAATCGGGATGATTATTGATTTTTCGTATGTAGGATTTTGGTTGATTCAGGAAATGGTCAACATCGATTTGATGATTTGAATAATAAAGGTTAATGCTTAGGGCAAGTAGGCGCCATGCTATATGGTGCTTTATGTGGATAATCTCATTTCATTCACAACACTTTGAGGAAAATCCTACTCATCAATAATTGAGAAATTCAACCAGAATGTCAATGACTAGAAAACTCAAGAAGTTTGATCCCTAAGTTCAAACTATTATTGGCTCTATGTTGGGACAGGAACTTTGTTGCTGCTCTGCTACGGGAACACAATGAGGGACACAACAGTCGTGGAGCAGGTTTGCAAGGCAAGACTCTGCTACTTGAGTACAAATTCTTGTGCCATTTATTGAAAGCACATGGGCTAGTAAAGGCTGATCATGGGACAATGGTATGAGGAATAGGGTCCGGAGGGTAGAAGAGGAATGGGGGACAAGGTTTTACGAGGGACAGGGAAGGGGACTGTAGGGTAAGGAAAAATGTCAGGCTTTTCTGCCCTCCTGCCATCAGGATAGATGATGGATCCTTGGGGGCCTGAATGCATGCCTGATGGCGGGCACCTGGAGTAGGGTGTGGGCCTAGGTAGATGGGATTCACCTGGGCTGAGACTGGGCTTTTAAGGACGGCGTCACGGGGACACCAAGAGAAGCTGAGAAAGAAGCCGATGAGAGAAGCAAAGAAGCAGAAGCAGAGAACGCCAGGGAGCCCAGAGAGAGTGAGGACTTGCTGGGGGCTGGGAGGCCTGCCAGTCTCCCGGCCCCCCAGCACCCCTGCCTGCCATATGCCTGGTGAACCCCAATAAAAGACCTGCAAAAAACCATTGAGGACTCTGACTCCTCCTTTACCCGGTCTGCATGGGATCAGAAAACCTGCACTGTGCCCGTTCCTGCCTCTACAGGGACATCGTGACCATGTGTCAAGAAACATTTGAGTCAGCAAAGTATTTGATGTTATCACAGGCAGAGTTATCCCGAGACCACCACAGAGACAGTCACGTAATCAGGTCAACAGTGGCCTGGGCGTCCCTGGGTCTGCCTTGTGATATGAGCTATACTCCGTAGGCAGTCGAGGAATGCTCTGCTGTGGCTTGCAGAGAGCAAATAAGTCACCGTTGCCCATGAGTGGCCAACTCAGAGAATCTACGGCTCTATTACCTGATGCTACTTTGCTATTTTCACTCAGG